ATTAGCTAAAACTATTTCTATCAAGCAAATTTCATTTTAAAGACTCATTAAAATTTAAATTTATGTGAAATAAGAAAAGAAAAATAGTTGCAAATCAAAAATAAATTAAGTTTAGTCATTAAAATTGTTACAAATCTTTAGCTAACATTAAAAGTAGTAGCATATTTTGCTATTTTATATAAATTTGAAAAAATAAATCAATTTTTTTTTTCTGATAATAATTAATTATGTTTGTTATATAGTAATGAATGAAAGTAATATCAAAAATTGATGTCAAAAATTGAAATATCAAAAATTATACGCTAATATTGGAATTTTGGAAAATTTTTAGCCATTGAGCAAAAAATCGGATTATGCATATTTTAGAGACGATTAGCAAAGGTATCATTAATGATGAACATAAGTAGTATTTCGTGACAAATATTCTTCATCACAAATGCATTTGCATAAAAATGTCATCTACCGTAGTACTGGCAAAAAATAAAATACAAAAAATTTATAATGAAAATGCAAAATGTCAATTTCAATCATTTCAATACTTTCATTCGAAAATAAATTCTGAAAAAAAAATAAATTTTGTTTGCAAAAGAATCAAAAATTTTCTATTTTATTATTTTACATTTCTATAACATATATAAATTAAAAAAAATGATACAATGGAGAAGAAAAAAACTTTTTCAGAATTGTTTTTAAGTTTAGTTTTTTGTAACTATTACAAGATGAATTAATTAAAAGAAACAATTCTATTGTTTTCATTTTAATCGAATTAAAAATTTATGCCAAAATCATTTCTTTGTCTTTTTCATATTGAATTCTTAAGGATTGATTTAACTTTATAAAAAAAAAAAAAAAAAATCAAGAAGAAACATAATTGTTTTCAGTATAAATGCGCAAAGATTTTCATAAAATTTACTAATCTAAAGAAAATTTAAATATTACTAAACGAAATAAAATTTAGATGTCGAATAGTTCTGGTATAATAAAAATTAATTTTTTAAACTAATTGCTTTTTTTATGTCTTAATGATGAATTTATGATCTAACAAAGTTTGTATTTAATGCAGCTCATATTTTAGAAATAACTTTAAGTCAAAATTTATTTGAATTTGTTAATTATTTCATTCCACCAAGATCTCAATTTATTTAATTAACACATACTTGAGATATATATTATTAGATGTATACTGTTGACAAAATAATGACATATTTCATCAAATAATTTAATAATTAATCAACTTAATGAGATGAATAGATGAATAATTTGTCGCAATCATTATTAACATTGATACAATTATCATTATCATTATTGATATTTTATTATTATTATTATCGGTTTTATGATTATTAATATTATTACTGTTACTATTCTGACCACTGAGTTATTTATCTATGTAAACAAAAAAAGCTTTTAGTACACACTCAATAATTTACTTTGATGACAAGCGACAAAATGGAAGATGATAAAATTAAAGGGTAAATAAGGTAAAGATTGCAACGTTTTGGTGTCACCGAAAAGTTTCAACATCCTCATAAATGGTCAACTTTATTTCTTTTTTTTTTTAAGGAATTGCGGTACTTTTGATATTGTTTACTTTTGTGCTATTATTGCTAATGCTACTACTACTACTACTACTATTAGTGCTACTACCATTACTTAAGTCAACTTTTGATAGATATTTTGACGGATTATTGAGGATAAAACTATCTTAGAAACATTTTAATACTTTTAGATGATTTATAGGGTCATGAACTCATACCCATTTCTAATTTTTATTTTTATTTTCTTTTTTTTTCTTTCTGTTTTTTCTCGAACAAAATTATTGAACAAGAAAACTAATCCCAACATATGAAATTAATTATGAACATTAAAAGATTTTTTTTTTTTTGCTTTTGGATTTATAAAATATATTATGCATTTTCTAAAATAACAATTAATGCAAATAGCAGCATCAATTTTAATTTTTTGTGTAAAAATTTTTTAATATGAATAAAAGAATAATTTTATTTGATTTAAAATTATTATTAATAACTTGAAAATACATTTTTTTTTTAACGCTTTATTCAATTTTGCATATTCAAATCATTCTGATTAAGGAACAAAATATATGCATGTATTATAATCATTTTTATTAAATTATAATACTTTATTCTTAATTTTTAAATTCAGTATCAAATATCCAAAATTTGCAAAATATTAATTTAAAAATAAGATAAGCTCTACTATTTTTTTTTTGAACTTTTATACACAAAAGTTGTTATAATCCAAATTTTACTGTTGAAAAAAAAAGAAATTTTTTTTTTTTGTCTAAAAGATATTTTCTTTTTATTTTTTTTAATTTACATAATCAAAAAAAAAAAAAAAAGGAAAAGAAAAAAATTTTTTTAATACTATTATAATGGATATAACGGTCAATGAGAACAGCAGGAATTCCAGCCAACATAGTAAGCATAAATTCTAATCTAATTAATGCATTACTTAAGATGAGGTAATGATGCGTAAATTATGAGGCGCTATACTCAAATATTTGTAATCATTGTAATTTTCAAGCTATTCTTTAAAAAAAAAAAAAAAAAGATGAAAGGTATAATTTCATTTGTTATATCTATTGGAAAGTAATAATTAGCAGTTTTGCTTTTTTTTTTTTTGGGAATAAAACATTCCGACAAATTCAGTAATTTATATGTTACAATTAATTGAACTGTTAGAATCTAAATTAATTCATCAATTTGATTGATCCATTCCATAACCTTTTTTCACCTTTTTGAAATTAATTGCAGTATACATTTATTATTTACGCATATGTAGAAAATTTACATATAATAATTTCGTTTTGCTATTTACAATTTGCAATCGATCAGAGTTTATCCATTTCCAATAATAAATTTTAATAAGATTAAATGCAATGAATGCAATGAAGGTCATTGCTAGGTTAGCCGGAAGTGAAAAATTTTTATTTGTTTGATTAATAATTCTATGTAACATTGATCAATGATTAGCGATTATTTTCCAATATATAAAATGTTTGAAATATTTAAATATTTTAAATTTTATTATAATTTTATGGAAGAGCTAATTTATTACTTTGAAATAAAAGAATTTATTTTATTTTATTAAAATTGTAAAATATTATAACAGCACACCTTGAAAGGTATATACAAGAATGCTATTAAAATATTAGCAACAAATTTGTGCTAAAATATTGCTTATTTTTTTTTTTTTAAATTTATTCATTTTGGGTATATGTTATAACTTCTTTGAATAAAAGTGTTAAAAAAAAATGTTTTATAAAAAAGTTTGTGCCAATGTTAATTTGTTTGTTGCAGAAAAAGTATTTGTGTTATTAAATTTAAATTTTGCTTATTTCATTTTTGTTAAAATTATTACTTGGATCATAGGTTAAAAAATAAATAATGAAAGAAAAACGAATTATTTGATGTTAAAATTAACATAATGTAAAGTTTCCACTCTTTTTTTCTCTGTTAGCTAGAAATTGCACGTAACACGTTCAAATAATCGAATGATTTCACGTGAAAAAATATTTGAAACTTTTATAAGTGTGACAAGAAAAAAATAATTGGAATGCATAGTGATTGTTTACAAGTAAAAGACAGAAGTGAAATCAATTGAAAGCTTTTATTAGCTGTAATACAAATATGCCACCAAAAAAGGAAAATAAAATAAGAAATGGAAATGAAAAGAATTTAATTTAATGCATTCTATACCAATAAGTGCTAATATTAGTATTTTAATTTTCTACATAATTATACATACATATATATATAAAAGGCATATATTGTCTAATTTTTCTATTTATTTGGTTTTTCATTTTTTTTTTCTCCTCGCAGATTGAAAAAATTTATTTTCTATTTATTCTAAAAAAGATTTTTAGTGATTTCTTACAAAGCATTTCTTTTTTTCATTGTTTTTTTGACAAATAAATAAAAAAAAAGAAATGATTGCAAACTTTTCTAAATTTATCAAATTATTTTGTTAAGGAAAATAAAAAAAAAATGAAACTTTTCATATAAATTAATAATATAATTTAAAATAAAATGAAAAAAACGAAAACAATAGCTATAAAATGAATTTACAGAGTGTAACAAACATACTATTAATAATAATATAGCACCAAAAAAAAAACAAAAAAAAAGGGAAAGAAAGGAAAAAAAAAATATTTTAAAGATAAAAGCAAATGCAATTATTATACAATAAAAGAAATTAAAAAAAGAAAAAAAAATTGCATCAAAAATGAAAATATATGAAATGCTACCCAAGGTTAACTATTTGTATGGTTTAATGTAATTTTTAAATTTTATTAAAAAAATTATTGTTCAATCTATATAATAGTGATAATATACACTTATATATATAAATTATTGATTAGTATTTCTTTGTGTTCTTTAATTCATATCAATCAATCAATGAGTAATTTCGAACTAAAAAGTTAGTAAAATTATAAACAAAATCTTTTATTGAAAATTTTTATTCGTTTTTCAATTTTTATCATTGTTTTTAATTTAATTGAATTAGTATACGAATAAATTTATGAAAATTCTCATAAAAGTTAACTAAAATAACAAATCGAATAAATATTATCATTTTGATCAGTATTCATCGCTGTTATCACCATTATCAGTATCATAAAAGTAATGTATAATATAGGTATTCGATCAAGTTTAGATCAATGTTAAGTTCACAAAATTAACCAAATAAATAGTACTTAAACAAGCATTTGATTGCAAAAAAAAAAAAAATTAACAAGAAGCATTTTTTTAAATTAATGAAAAAATTAATTATATAATCGTCCTCAGCATTTTTTTGCATAAATAGAAAAAACATTAATGGAATGAGAAAGGATTAGAATTTAAAATGTACAATAAACTCAAATAATTGAATAGACTAATCTGAAAAAAACTTTTTTTCTAAAAAAATAAATAACAACAATGCTTATTCATTTTGTTTTTTTTTTTTTTTTTTTATTTTCTAATATAAATTAATTTTTATTTTGCATAATATGGATAGTATGGATTTTGAGCAGTTGGATACGGTTGCGCACCAAATGGCGGAAATGGAAATGCTCCTTGCTGATACATATTGCTCGATTGACACATTGCCTTTAAAAAAAATTTTTTAAAAAAAATGAAAAAAAAAAATTTTGTAATTTACTTTATCTTTTAAAAATACTATCAGCTAAATTAGCTACAATTTCTTTTAAAAAAAAAAAAATTATTTTTTCTTATTTTCTAGTTGTATTTTCGATTTATTCAAGCGTATTTAACGATTTGCAAATAATTTTTAATTTATTTTAATTTAGTTTTGAATTAATTATAATACTATAATTAGTATTCACAGAAATTTTTTTCTTTTTATTAGTATATTTTTACGCATGTTTAAAACAAAATAAAACATACTTGTTGATAAAATTGATTTTTTAAATCCGGTATACCATCAGGTAATGCACTTAAATTTAACAAATGTTCCTGATTTGAATCCGGTGCAACACCGGTAACAGCATGTGCATTATCACAACGTTTTCCATCTTTAACCAGTATTGAAACATTCATTTTTCTACAAATTATTAATCCGTAAAGACAAAATGATAGACAAAAAAGATAACTGATAAGATGCAAGTAGAAATATGAAAATTTTTAAAATTTAAAATTAAAATTTCAGACAAAAAACTTGAGTAAAAACAAGAAAAAGAAAAAAACCAAAAGAAAAAATACTAAATTTCTTTTAGTAACAATTTTAATTTTCAAATAAACATAATTTGACATTAAAATCGTATTACTCATTTCATTTCAATTTCTATTATTCATTAAAAATTTAAATAAAAATTAGTTTGAAATTAAATGCTAATAATATAAACATACTTATCAATGCTACTACTATCTAACGGTGTTGGTGTCCTAGATGGTCCAGGTGATTGACTTTCATCTCGTCCTCTATTACCATCGGTCATTTTGCGCTCCTTTTCTTGACGCTTACATTTGTAACGATGATTTTGAAACCAAATTTTCACCTAAAATAATAATTTTAATTTTTTTTAAAAAAAATTTGCAGAAAATTTTGTTGCAAGTAAAACAATCTAAATAAACACATTAATATGTTAAAATAAACAAATGAAACAAATAAAATAAATCAATAAAACTTGAAATTGAGCATTAAACCTGTGTTGCTGAGAGTCCAATTGAATTTGCTAATGCTTCACGTTCCGGTGCTGTTAAATATTTGGATGCACGAAAGCGTCGTTCTAATTCATAAACTTGATTTTGTGAAAAAAGTACACGTCGTTTACGTCTGGAACCAACGTGACCAGAAAGTGGTAATTGTAATCCTTGCATTGCTGCATGAGCTGGATTAATGCCACAATTAAGGCCAAAACTGGAACCTAATCGTGGTACTGCAATTTATAAAACCTTTTTTTTTTTTTAAATTTCATTATTGTATAATTTAATTACATTTGTTATGGTTATACATTTGCAATTTATAAAATAAAATGAAAATTTAATTTTTAACACAATTTATAAAATATAAAATTTTAAAAATTTAATTTAAGCACATCAATTATTTGTTTTTTATGCAATTTAATTTATTATTATCAATTAAATTTTTCAATCAGTTTTTTCTTTTTCCAAACAGATAATTATTAATAATTTCATTTTTAATTCAAAAAGAAATTAATGATTGAAAAAAAAGAAAAGAATAATAATAAAAAAAGTATTTATGATTTAATGCTGTATGATTAGTTAGACAAAAAAATTTTTGGTTTCCTGCTGTTCACTCATCATAAAATTGTCTCTTTTCACAACAAATGAATAGAAGTTTTATCTAATTCCCGTGCATCTAACTTATATAACTTATTCAACATACAAACATACACACACATACACATACACACATACATGCACATACATAAACATACATATAAATCTAGAAAAGAAAGTGGGAAAGTGACAAATATACCAGCAGGGGTATAAATTTATCATTTATTGTTTAATCATATTATAATAAATTGACGATCATTTTTTTTTTTACTTTATCATTCATTTATTTAATAATTAATTAATTTTATAAAACTATTATTACCGTTAATTAATTGATAATGGGTTATAAATTAATTAAATAAATTTGTAATAATAAATGTTATTATAATTTTATTAATATTATTACTACTAATGTCGGTAGCAGTAGTGTTAATGGTAAAAAAAAAGAATAAAAAAAGCAATATTTGTTAGATAAATAATAAAATTTAAAAAAGAAATTAAATTTAATTAAAATACATTGAAATATAGGAGAAAGTGTGCTAAAAAGAAATAAAACAAAAAAAAAAAATTGATAATTTCTATGGAAAAAATTTAAACATTAATTCTAAATTCATTTATTATCAAATATTTTTTAATAAAGAAATAGAAAAAAATTTAGTTAATTTTATTTAGTTTTGTTTTTAAATAGTTGAAAACAAAAAAAAAGAAAATTATTGAATTTTTTTAAGCTTTACAAAATTTTTCATTTTACTCCTTTCTTCTTTATAGCGATTAAAATTTTTAAAAATTCTAATGTATTTGATCAAAATTTGATAACTTATTTAAGATTTCGAGAAAAAAAACAATTACAAATTCAAATTTTTAGAAATTTTAAACTTTTTTCATTACTAATTTTTATTTTTTTTTATTTTTCTTTTTTTGGCTTAAAAAAAAAAAAAAAAAACTAATATTGCAATTAGATTACTGTACATTTATGCGCATGTATACCTTACCTCACTTTACCTTATCTTACTTTACTTTACTTTACCTTAATCTTACTTTACTTGTTATTGATAATTTTCTATCAATACCATATCAGATACAATATTTATATAAATCATACATCCAAATGCTATTCTTTTTTTGAAAATTTACATTTCATGGTAATATTTTTTGATCTTTAATCGATTATTTTGATAACTATACCTTAACTTCCCCTCTTCTTATTCTGTCTATTTTAGTTAATGTTTGCCCGTATATTTTACCCATGTTTGTTTAATTTTCGCAACTATCAAATACAAATTAGAGGAGAAAACTAACTATACAATGAATTGATTTCAAATGACAAAATGATGGATTGAAAAGAAAAGAAAATTTCATAGCATTTCATTCATTTTCTAATTCTACGATAGTTTATTTTAAATTTAAAAGTAATCAAATATCGAATAAAAGAAAGAAAGAAAGAGGGAGAGAGAGTAAAAAAGAATAGACGAGGAAATTTTGCAAAAATTGATGAATAGTTTGAGTATGATAAATTTGTAAATATTAAAATTTACTAATAAATAATTTGAATGAAAAATGAAAAGAAATGATTTGATTAAAGCTAATATTTTAAATGAATTTGGCAAAAAGGGAACAAATTTAAATTAATAAAAATAATTTAAAATTAAAATTAAAAAAAGACCAAAATAAAATAATTTAAAATAGATATAAATTGGAAAAGGAAATGATGCAAAAATATACATGAACAAACAATAAATGAATTTAATAAGTAAGGAAAATAATTAAAAGAATATAAGGATAAAAAATAAATGCAAGGAAAATAAAAAAATGCAATTGTTTGATAATAGTTTTAAAAAAAAAAAAAATTGCCAAAAAAATTTACAAAGAAAAGTTTTATATAAAAAACAAATGTATGAATAATGTTAAAGCGAAACAAAAAAAATTAAAATTAAACAATGAAATATTCAAATTGATATAATGCGGTTCCTTTTTCCTTTTTTTTTTTGACGGTAACTCAGTGAGCTTAATCTTATGATAGTGAGATAGTAAATAAGATTAATCATCTGATAATAAAGTAGTAAACAAAGTTTAAGAACTTCAAATTCGGATAATCTACCACTTTTTTTTTATCCACTTCTAGTTGATCCCAAATTTCGAGATACCGTAACTATCTATCAGTGCAATATGTTACCGAAAATGATATTTTGTACCGTAAAACTACTCTAATCATTTCTAATATTAATTAATAAATGTGAAAGAAAAGAAAGTAGAAAAGAGTAATTTTCATTTTTTTTATGATTTAGTTAAATTGAATTACAAACTTTTTAAAAATTGTTGGGAATTTTTAATTATTGAAAAATATTGAATGCAAATTTTTTTCATAAAAAATTATTTAGTTATACTTGAAATTTTCAATGTTTAAATATTGCTTAATTAACCAATTTTTTTTTTTTTTGCTTACTTAGTTTAAATAATTTATTTTCGACAAATTTTTTAAAAATTGATAATAAACAAGAAAGGTAATAAAATTGCGTATAAAATTTTCTTTTCCAATAATCACTTATTTGCACATTTGTATTGAAATTAAAAGTAAGAAAGGTTACTTTTACTTTTTCTGTTCATTTCAATTTTCAATTGCTGTAATCGATTTGTTTTTCATCATTTAAATTATGTTAATTATTAAATCTATGATATTTTATCAAATTATTTGAATGATATCACTGAACAAAGTAAAACTTTTTCATATATCGAATTAAATAAAATCAATAATAAAATTTTATATTAACACACCAGGGATGACAGAATGACACACATATACATTACCTGTTTAACGGAACATTTTCATAAAATATATTAATTTAATTAGCTCTTATTTTGTAAGAATAATAAATTACGAGCAATTTTTATTTGTAAATGAAGTCAAAATAAAATTTCATAAAATTTCAAAATAGAAACTTTTCTTCTATTTGAAACTTAATTTTATAAAAATTTAGAAATTAAAATTCATACTTAATACTACTTATATAAAATAAATAAATGGCTATAAGGGGTAAATAAATAAATGAATAAATAATTTTTGCATATGTATAGTTTATTAAAATTATAATTTAAATAGAATGACTTATTTGAATAATAAAACAAACCAAGTCGTGGATCATGAGTACCGTACCAACCAGCAGCTGATGGTGCATTTGTAACATAACTGCAAAACAGGAAATTAACAATTTCTATTAAAAAAAAAAATAAATAAATAAAAAATTAAAATGAAATATTTTACACTTTTAATAGCACTTTGTAAGAATTGTTCAAATTTTCCAGTTTAAAATTAAATTTCTATTTTAATTTAACCTTGAAAAATCTGGTGCCGGTTGATAACTATTACCAAAATGACCGGTAAGATAAGGTGATGCACTAAATGCTGATGATGCTGTTGCAGCACTTCCATGTGTTGCTACTACCGTTCCCATACCACTATTACTTGAACCGGTTCCGGTTACTGAATGTATTGTACTATTTGTTGGTCGATAACCGGAAAAACCCACTGGTGATGCTTCCAATGATGTTAAACTACCCGATGCAGAGTTTGCTGCCATTTTCAGCAAACGTTGATGAACTCGAGCTGAAATATTAATTTTATTATAAAATTTAATACAAAATTTTTCTATGCAAATCATTCGATAATTTAAATAAAAATCATTTTGTTTTTTTCTATAACTAAATTTATTTCTAAATTTTTTACTGAATTAATTGTTAAATTTACTGTAACTGCAAAAAATGTAAAACTATATCTTATACTTGAGGTTTTTCTTTTTTTTCGCTCTTTAACATATGGTAGTATTATATCAAATTACCTAAAGCTTTTATAATATATTAATTACATTATGATAACTCTATCTATTTTAACCTAATATTGCAATATTAAATTCGAATTGAACGAAGAACTGAATGATCAAATTTTAAAACATATAATTTTTGCACTAAGCTATAAAAAATTTTATTTCATTAATAAATTTTTAATAACTTTTTAAATATCCTTTTTATGCTCGGTTTATTTTAAAATATTAGATGACAAAAAAGGCAAAAAAAAACAATTTGTGAATGATTTAAAATTTTCTGTTCAACTTAAAAACAAATCCTTTCATTTCAAAGTTAACAAATTACATTTAATTTTTAAAATTAATGAAATAAAATGCAGAAAAAAAGTGACTTTGTGTTTTATTCGATAATGATGATTAAATGGGAATAAAATTTAATTAAAACATACAACAAATAATATCTACCACTTAGCTAACTTTAAAGTAAAATTTCGATAGCATAATTAGTTTACATTTATTTATTCCTTCACTAAATGATTAATTTCTTCATTCATTTGTCGATTTTATTAGTTAATTTCGATTTTTCATTAAGATCGAATTTTGTTTGACTTTTACACAGAGCTATTCATTCAAATTGTTAAACATGTTTAAAAAAATCAAATTACTCATAAAAAATTAATTTTAAGTTCAATTTCAGTGCAAAAATCTAATGAGATCTGCGATCAAAAGAATTCGAATTTAAGTTTAATTACAAAACAAAAACCCCTAAGAAAAAAAAAAAAACATACCTAATGCTAATAAATGATATCAAACATTTGTCACATAAATATATTAATATAAAAAAATCAATAAAAATGATTGCACAATATGAAATTGTTGAGAGAATAGAGATCTGATAGAATCTTGAAGAATTCCCGCTAATGTTTAATTTACTTTTACTTTTGATCCACCAATAAATCAATAGTTTATGCATATTGATGCAACAGCTGATTGATTTGTTTTATTTTTAATATTAAAATTCACAGTCAGAAATTAGAAATTAAATTAAGGGACTTTTTTAATTGAATAACTGATAAGAAAATTTATCAGAGAGGATAAGACGAAAACTAAAAATTAACTAAACATAGAATAAAACTTTTGAAAGTATAATGGAAATGATTCAATTAAATTGAAAATGAAAGTGGATGATTGCATGCACAAATTGTATTTAAAAATAATATTATTAAAATTATATTTCCTGAATTTATTTAAAAAATGTTATTATCTGATCAATTTTAAAATACTGATCTATGAAGTAGACTTATGGCAATTTATTCTCTAATGCTAATTTTTTAATGTTTTTTTTTTCAATGTTTATTCACAAATTCAGTTTTGTTTGAGTAAGTGAAGTGTTTTATTTGTTGAGCAATCGAATAGGTCACGAAAACTAGTATTATTAAACTAAATTATATTCCAAATTGGTAATGATAAAGCAATTTTTCAAACCTATTTCAATTATATATTTTATTTGGTTGCGAAAACCATTTAATTGTTAAAACTTACTAAAGTTACTTCATTGCTATCAAAAGTTATAAAAATCAGCCTAAAAATTGCTATAAAAGATAAAAAATGCCTTAACAAATTTTTTTTTCGCAGTCATTTGAGATATATTTTGCTAAAAAAAAAATAGAATTTCATTTGATTGAAATTAAGTTATAAGAGAATTAACTTTTTTTATTTTTACCACCAACTTTGTTCTTATATTTTTATAATTCTGTTTAATATTTAAAATTATTAACTAATTACTAAAAGATGCCACTACAATCAAATAATACTACATATTGTAAAATAATTTTATTTTACTATAAATGATAAATTTCAAAAAGAAAAAATCGTTAAAAAAAAATACGAATGCAAATATTAATTAAATAAATAATAATAATAATTGTAGTAAAAGTAATAATATCAATGATAGATAATCATATTTGAATAGATCCTTAATGATCATCATCATACGTTTTGTACAGTACTTGAAAATGATGAATAAGTGGACTTGAATTTTTGTGATTCATCTTTCCCTTTTTTTTTCTTTGCAGGTATATACATATCTATTAAAAGAAAATAAATAAAAAAGGGAGAGAGAGAGAGAGAGAGTTGGAGAAAAAGAAAAAAAAAAGAAGGAAAGTTCAAGTTTAGAATTTAAGCTTTATTAGTTAAGTATACTTTTGAAAAATAAAAAGTGAATAGATAGATTTGTTCCTATCGAACTATCCCAAACACTAAACTAACCATCATCCTCTTAAGATAAATATTGAACAAAATTCCTCTCAACCATTCTTCTTTCTTTTACCTCTTTCTTTTTTTTTCTCCTCCTCCTCCTTCCCCTCCTCCTCCTCCTCCTCCTCCTCCTTCTTCTCCTCCTCTTCTTCCTCTTCCATTTCCTCCTTTTCCTTTCTTTCCTTTTCTTTCTTCACTTTTTCCTCTTTCTCCTAAATTCCTCTTCATTACTTTTTATCATTTATCTTCTTCATTTTTCATTTCATCCCACTCAATCTTTGTTGAAATTACTTCCCTACCCACTTTTTCTGCTGCTTTTCTCTTTAAAAATCTCATACAACACAATCAGCTATTATTATTCTAGTACCTATTACTACTACTACTACTACCACTACTACTACTACTACTACTACTGCTATTATTACCACCACTCCTCCTCTACACTTATGATTAAATGACCACTTATCATGCATCTCACCCTTACCAGTCTTTTCCTCATCTTTCATTAACATTTTCATCTATCCCACTTAACCTCTCATTTCCTCAAATGCTTTTCATTATTTTACTTCAATTTCATTCTCTTCATTCATCCCATATATACTTTATAATCTCATCAAATTTCTCTTTCTGTCTCTTTTTGCACTCCTTTCTCTCTCTCTCTCTCTCTCTCTACCTCCCATTTTCATTCTTAAATTTATCCAATTTTGGTAGTGATGAAAAAGGGCGGAGCAAATGAATAAATGTTATGAATTGGTTGGGGGGGTAGAAAAAAGGTGGAGTTAAAATGAATGAATTAGCCAATACCTGAAGAGTTAATTGATTTCCAATTTTTTTTTTCTTTAACATTACAAATGATGTTTTATTATATGTGTAGCAATAGCTTTAGCATACTGTGCTTTTTTTAATTTCCGTTAATTTTGTCTTCTTTTTTTCTCTTTTTTTTTGGCATTTTCAATTAATTGTTGAAAATATTTGCTTATATTCAATAAATAAATAAATAAATTATTAATTATTAATTAAGCCATAAAAAAAAAGAATTTTTTCAAGGAAATTTTAATTACAATTATCATTTAACGAAGCAAAAAAAAAAAAAAAAAAGAAAGATAAGGAAAGCGAAAGAAGAAAAAAAGAAAAACTTAAAATAATTTAGTCAGAGAACAAAAAAAAAGAAAAAACGAAAGTGTATTGAAATTATTTGTAATAGACATTGGAAATTATATTTCATAGTAGAAAAGTTAATCTTTTCATGAATTTTTGATGTATCCGATAATTTGTAAAAAAAAATTAAAATTGATAAAAATATTTTGAAATGCAGTAAAAATTGCAACAAATATATTCATATTTTTTAATCTTTATTTTCTTGTTTTCTAATTTTTTATCAGTTATTTCAAATACCAATATTATTGAAATTCTTATCAATTCTTATCTTTTACTATTTATTACCTATATCATTTTCATCAATCAGATAACTCTCTTGCTGAATATAAGCATTATATCTTTGATTATCTATTATTTCTGATTCATCACAGAGGTAATATCGCAAAAAACAAAGTATGGAAATAATACAAATACAAGGTAAGTTAATTTTTCAGTCGAATATATCAAAATTATTGGAAATATTATTTGATCAAAAACAAATATTATAAACGTTTCTAATTTCATCTATTAACATTTCATATTAATGGAGTATTATGCTTTTGTATGATAAAATGTAATAAATGGAATTCATAAGCACAATTTTTTCCTTTAAATATTTACTAAATATTTAAATCAATTTTTTCCTCTAAATATTTATGTAATTTAAAAATATTAAATATATTAATTATATCACTCCTTCTATACTATTTCATTTATTCCATCACTAATTTATTTCATGTATTGATTTGTCCAAAGTTTTTGTTAAGTATGACTAAATATGTTATTAATAAGTAATTTATAAAAATGCAATAAGCGCTACAAAGTTGAAAAATATCACAAAAAAAGTTTTTTTATACATGTAAGCACAACATTTCATTTTCTTTTCTTTTTTTCATGATAAATACGTTATCAATCTAAATCTTTACTGATTACTTAAATAATATGTATAAACTAAATGTGTCATCGATTTACCTTTAGATAAGTAATTTATGTAAAATCAATAAGTGCTGTATATTTGAATAATATTACTAATGTTGTATTAGTTATCGATAATATATTTTTTGTTAAAATTATTGTTATCAGTGGTGATTTCATGATAACTAATATGTGACAAATTAAATTTGTAACAAATAAGTATATAAAATTTTCAAGATGTTTTCGTATTATAATAAGAAATATACATAAATTTTCTATAATCTTAACCTTTTCCACTCAAATACCTAATATTTTTGATTAAACTATAGCTATCTCTGTTAAGTGTCATATCTTACTTATTTTCAATTAATCAATATTTTCAATTAATTTTAATTCCTTAAATATTTTGATATTTATTCTATGCATTCTTATCATTAAAATTAAACAACTAAATTTTAATATGTCATCGT